GTTTGATGAATTGATCCTCTGCTGGCACATTTGTGGTAGTAAACACCTTTCTTATTTGGTATCACTTTGGTTACATTTGTTCTGAGCTGCTTCTGGTTGTATCTGAGAGCCTCCACTTTCCACCCTCCACTGCCTTTTCCAGAGGCGGCATCAGTGCCCTCCTTGTGCTGCTGTGGCTTTCAGGTTGTTGGTACCTTGTTGCTTCTGATGTGACTGCAATCTCAGGTGATGTCACTGGGTCACCAGGCTGTGAGCACTTCTTTGATCACCTGGGTCTCGTGTTCCCCCATTGGCTGTCTGTGAGCTCTCCACAGGCTTGGATGCTGCTATCCCATGAACCACCTGTGCTGCTCTTCCTGGGTAGTCTGGGGGTGCTTGTTGTACCACTGCCAGGGGTGCTGGGTTTGTGCATGTTGATGTCCCTGCCAGGGTGCCTGGGACTCAAGGACTTATATGCAGCCCCTGCTGCTGGTGGAGTTGGTGTCAGGGCTGCCACCACTGTGGGCTGGGTCACTGGTTCTGCTGTGGTTACTGAAGCCTCTGATCACAGGTTCCACCTACCACTGCTGGGGGGATCAGGGGCTAAGCAAGATGATGTTACTGTTACTGCTTGCTGTGAAGCCTCTGGTCTCCAGTGCTAGCTGGTGTGTTTTGAGAACTCAAGTCAGGGTGCCCCACCCCAGCTGGGGAAATCTGAGTTTTGTATACTTTCCTTACTGTCGGAAAGACCTGGCCACTGCTGGCGGAGGGTGAGGGGATGTGTTTGCTGGATCTGCTGGGAGATGGGCAATGAGCAAGCCATGCCCACTTTTTCTGCCCCCATCACAACCACTGGTAGTTGCATGGGCTGGATCTGCTGGGAGATGGGCAGGGAGCAAGCTGCACCTACCTTCTCTGCCTCTGCGATGACCATTCACAAGTACAGGAGCTGGATCTACTGGGATATAGGCAGGGAGAAAGCCGTGCCTGTTTCTTTTTCTTTTCTGTTTTCTGCCCCTGCTGTGACTGCTCACAGACATGTGGACCAGTATGAAGATCTGCACCCTGGATTGCTGCTGCTGGTGAGTGAGAAGGGACTGCTCCTCTAGTTCCACTGCCTCCCAGGGGTGCAGTCCACCTACCTTCAGATTTATAGATGCATGGATCTCTTATGTGTCCTATTGTGCTGTGTAGGGAATCTGCTGTTGGTCAATGGATGTCTGACTGGTTGCAACTTAGAGGACAGAGACAAAAGGAAGAACTCACTCTGCCATGGCACTGACAACACTCTCATTGCCCATTTTAACAATAGGATTGTTTTCCTTTTTGTTGTTGAATTGTAAGAATTCTTGATCTACTCAGGATATTAATTCCTTATTGAATACATGATTTGTAAATATTTTCTTTAATTCTGTAGGTTATCTTTTCCCTCTCTGATATGTCCTTTGATGCACAAAGGTTTTAAATTTTGATGAAGTCTAATTTGTCTATTTTTCTTTTATTGCTTGTACTTTTGTTATCATATCTAAGAATCCACTGACAAATCCAAAGTCATGAAGATTTACCCCAATGTTTTATTCTAAGTTTTATAGTGTTACCTCTTACATTTAAGTCTTTGATCCATTTTGAGTTAATTTTTGTATATGGCATGAGGTAAGGGTACAACTTCATTATTTTGCATGTGGATATCCTATTGTCGCAGAACTATTTGTTGAAAAGACTATTCTTTCCCCATTGAATGGTTTTGGCACCCTTTTGAAAATCAATTGGCCATGGATATATGGGTTTATTTCTGGACTATCAATTCTATCCCATTGACCCATATGTTTATCCTATGCCAGTGCCACACTGTTTTGATTAGCTTTGTAATAAGTTCTGAAATTGGGAACGTGAGTCCTCCAATTTTGTTCTTTTTCCAAGATTACTTTGGCTATTCAGGGTCATTGGCAATTCCATATGTAGTGTAGGATCAGCTTGTCCATTTTTGCAATAAGGCTGTTGACATTTTGATAGGGATTGCATTGAATCTGTGGACAGCCCTGGTAATATTACCATCTTAATGTTAAGTCTTCCAGTCCATGAACATGGAATGTATTTTCTTTTTTTTAAGTTTCCGTAATTCTTTCAATGATGTTTCATACTTTTCATTGTACAAGTCTTGCACCTCCTTGGTCAAATTTATTCCTAGTTTTTATTCTTTGAGATACCGTTGTAAATAGAATTATTTTCTTAATTTCAATTTTGGGTTATTCTTTGCTAGTGTTTAGAAATGTAACTGAATTTTGTATGTTGATTTTGTACTTTGCCACCTTGATGAATTTGGTTATTGGCTTTAATATTTTTTGTGTGTAGATTCTTTAGTATTTTCTATATATAAGATCATGTAATCTGTGAATAGAGAGAGTTTACTTTATCCTTTCCAATTTGGATACCTTTCATTTCTTTTTCTTTCCTAGTTGCCTTGGTTAGAACTTCCAGTACAATGTTGAATAGAAGTGGCAAGGGAAGACATCATTTTCTTATTCCTGACCTTAAGGGGGAAATCTTTAAGTCTTTCACCACTAAGTATGATGGTAGTTGTGGGTTTTTCATAGATACTTTTTATAGGATTGAAGAAGTTCACTTTTATTTCTAGTTTCAATATTTTTATCATGAAGGGTATTGGATTTTGTCAAATAATTTTCTGCATTGTTGTGGACTGAAGTATGTACCCCTCAAATTCATATGTTGCACCCCTCACCCCCAATGTGACCATATATGGAGATAGGGCCTTTAAGGAGGTAATTAAAGTTAAATGAGGTCATAAGGATGGGGCCTTATTCCAATAGTACTCATGTCTTTGTAAGAAGAGGAAGAGACACTAAAAGCGTGCACACAGAGATAAAAGAGCATGTGAAGACACAGTGAGAAGGTGACCATCTGCAAGCCAGGAAGAAAGGCCTCACAAGAAACCAACCCTTCTGGGACCTTAATCTTGAACTTCCAGTCTCCAGAACTGTGAGAAAATAAATTTCTGTTGTTTAAGCCACCAAGTTTGTGGTATTTAATTATGGAAGCTTGAGCAAAGTAATATATGCATCAGTTGTAATGATCATGTGGTTTTGTTCTTTCATTCTATTATTGTGATGTATTATATTGATTGATTTTCATATTTCAAATTACTTTTGCATTCCTAGGATAGTGTCCTCATTTTCACTCCTGATTTTAGAATTTGAGCTTTCTCTGCTTTATTCTTTGTCAGTCTAGCTAAAGGTATATTAATTTTATTGATCTTTTTGAAGAATCAACTTTTGGTTTCATTGACTGTCTCTTGTTTTTTTATTCTCTATTTTTATTTATCTCCATTATAATCTTTATTATTTCCTTCTTCTGTTTGCTTTGAGTTTAGTTTTATCTTATTTTTCTAATTCTTTAAGGTAGAATGTTTGCTTATTTATTTGAGATCTTTTTTTTTAAAATGTAGGATTTATAGCTATAAATGTTCCTCTGAGCACTGCTTTTGCTGCATCTCCTTAATTTTGGTATGTTGTATTCTCATTCTCATTTGTCTGAAAGTATTTTCCAATTCCCCTTGTGATTTTTTTGTAACCTATTGGTTGTTTAAGAGAATGTTGTTTAATTTCCACATATTTTTGAATTTTCCAAATTTCCTTCTTTATTTCTTAATTTTATTCCATTGTGCTTACTGAAGATACTTTGTTTGATTTTGATCATTTTATATTTATTCAAACTTTTTTAATAGGCTAACATATGGTCTATCTTGGAGAATATTCCATGGACACTTGAGAAAAATGTGTATTATTTTTGGTTGGAGTGTCTTCAGATCTAGTTGGCATATATATTGTTCAAGTGATGTATATACTTGTGATCTTGTGTCTATTGTTCTGTCAATCATTAAAAGTAGTGGGAAATTGTTATCATCAATTATTATTGTTGAACTGTGTATTTCCCCATTCAATTCTGCCAACTTTTGCTTCATGTATATGGGGCTCTGTTGTTAGGTGCATATATGTCTATAATTATTTCTTCTTGATTGTTGACCCTTTTATCATTATATAGGGTCCTTCTTTGTCTCTTGTAACAATTTTTGTCTTAAAGTTTTTGTCTCTGATATTAGTATAGCCACTCTAGCTTTCTTTTGGTTACTGTTTTCACGAAATATCTTTCCATCCTTTCACTTTCAACTTACTTGTGTCTTTGGATCTAAAGTGAGTCTCGGGCGCTCGCCGTCCCGTGGGCGGTTGGCTTGGCTTTGTCGCTCCTCTGTCCCCGCGGTCCCTGGGCCGCTTGTGTCTGTGCCTTCCCGTCAGGTTCAGGTGACTTTTCCCTTGCTCGCTCTTTCTTTGTGTTTGTCGGGAGCCAGGAGGGGCAGCTTCGTGGCGTTCAGGGTTAGGGGTTTTAATTCAGCCCTCCGCCTTCAGAAGCTAAGAGCTGGAAGAAAAGCCCGAGGACTCGTTCTTGCTTACTGATCGAGAGGACAGCGTTCAAGAGGACCTAAGGCGCCGAGTTTTACCCTGCCAAGTCAGCTCTTGTGTTTAGGGACTATCACGTTTCTGTGTCAGAAAGAAACAAAAAACAAACTTGCATTGAGCGAGCAAACAGACAAGGGGAGATTATTCGGTGTTATATTCCCAGTAGCTTTTAAAGATTTCAGTCATTCTACTTCGCATGCGTTTACCTTTATCCGCGGTTTTCAGCTGTAAGTTCTGGCAAGTGATGTTCTGAGATTTTTTAAAAACGGGTTAACACTTACAGAACGCGGGTTTAGACTGTTGTCGGCGATCTTAATAAGCAAGCAAAGTTGAGCGTTACCGTGCTCCTGATGTTAAAGGATGTTAAACACCCAGTAGGCGGAGGATGTAATGGGCATTAGGATTTCATTTTCCAGAGACTGGTTTGTCCGACAATGGGATCCAGGATTTCCACTCCACAATCTCTTGAGTGGATCCAGATGTTGGTGTAGGGAAGAGGGAGATCTGGAAAATTACTCTAAATGGGACTCTGGGAACAAATGCTTCATTTCATTACTGTAATTGAATATATGCAAAGGATTTTGCCAAGCCCGATAGCAACGTAAGACAGGATTTCTGCTGTCGAGGAGCTTGCTTTCCAGTAGGAGAGACTTCTGCATAGGTTCTGATGGAAGGAGAGGCTCCGGCCAAAGGGCTTGGAAGTCCTTGGAGAGGAGCTGGGTGTAGAGCTGGCCCTTGAAGGGGAGGGTTTGGCTGGCTTTTTGGGAGGGGGAAAAGGATGTTCCCTGCTGAAGGAAAGGAAATGCACTTTCTGTCCTCTTCCAAGAAATACTTTACCATCCTTTCTTTTCTTAGAGTATTTATAAATCAGGAGATATTCTTTTAAAAAGTCATTAAATTCCTCTTAAAAGTGCAACATGCTCAACAGAACCAGCAAAACAATGTGAAATAACACCTTTCCAACCAATTTTTAGTGGCTTGATGCGTATCCTTCTACAGCTTTCTTATATCCATCCACAATCATATTACAAATATATGATATTGTCTTGTCAGATGTTTCATTAATATAAGCTTTTTGTACTAAAAGGAGCATTTTTAGTGGAAAGCACTTGGACTAGTAGGTAGGACACCTGGCTGGCAGGTTTTGTCACTGACGGTGAGTTTTTGCCACTGTCTTGGGCAGATCATTTAACCTCTGTAGCTCTAACTTCCTCCTCTATGGGATGAGGGGATTGGATGGATGCTCATCAGAGCCTTCTAGCTGTAGCATTTTATAGTTTTGTGCCTACACATGTATATGCATTACTTATTCAGTAATTGTGCTCTTAATTGCACATTCTGAATATCTCTCAGTTTTTATGTTCTGTGAACGGATCAGCACTCTTATCCTGGCCATTGAATGTAGGAGAGTGATTAAAGCTGCAAAGCTAAAATAATCTTATTTTAAGGTAAAATTCCACAAGTGAATGTTATTTTTAAAGATGCATGAACAGGAAGCTTGATTTGCAAATCTGAATGTGTATTTGGCTTTCCAAAAAGTTTTGTTGACACCGTTAACTTCATTTGTGACCAAAGAATAATACATAGTTTACTATGTACATTGTACTTGA